AGAGAGAGAGAGAGAGAGAGAGAGAGAGAGAGAGAGAGAGAGCCCTAGCTCCTTTTCGCTCTGATCATGTTTTGTACATTCTTAAAATGACATAGGTACACGTTTAATATTTATCGAAAGCGAGAAAGTTTTAGTGCAACCTAATGCAGAGACAGAAACAAACTTATATATGTTTCCACCGAGGATTCAAATCGAGTCAAAATCAGGTCAGAGTCGGGTTAGAGATAAGTTGGCTTGTCTATTTCCACTGAATCAGACTTACATTAGAGTTGCAACCCGACTTTGACCTGATTTAAATTTTTGGTGGAAACATAGTCATATTTCTCTTATAGGAATAATTTGTATAAATTATTATCAATTTATTAATACATTTATACTCTCTTAGTTAATTGTAGATTTGCCAATTAATTCTTGTTCTTTTCGTAATTCCTGTTCACGTTGTTGTTCCCTATTTATAGATTCTTTTTTCTTAATCTGTTGGAGACGTAATACCCGTTTCTGCAATAAGACTTTTTATATAGCTGAAAATACTTATATTACCTATATGAGCATATCATAGAAAAATTAATGTTATGATAATTCACCTTTAATTTAGACGTTCTTTCATGAATATTGATCATTTCTTTTCTTATCACTGCTAATTTTCCTTGATAAATTTTAACAGCTGAAAACTATAACATTTTTAAATATAATTTTTCTGTTCCTCGTAAAAAAGTACTACTAGTGTCACTGTTGGTACAAGTAGTAATCAGTAGGAACACTGCTCGTGACTAGTAGTATAGAAGTGCAGTATTAAATTTACTACTAGTGACACTAATAGTATCACTATTGGAAGTAGTGCAATCTACAGTAATCGCATTCCCGCACTTGCGGAAATTATTTTAATACAAATTTGAATTAAAAAATTGATTTTAATTAATTATTTTAATCATTTCTTATTTTTAATCAAATTTTGATTATAACTTTGTTTTTTTGCGAATTTACTTCTGCATATTGCACTAATAGTGACATTAATAGTATTTTTTTACGAGGGATGAGATATTGATATGCCGAACCATATTACAAGATCCCTAATCCGAAATTCTAAAAATCGAAAATCTCTAAAAATCAAATACTAAAATAAAAATACATAGATTAATTTTGATTAATAAAGACATCGATCACGTCACTTAACCTCTTTTTAGATTTTTATATTTTTCCACACACACACACACACACACACACACACACACGCACGCACGCACGCATGCACGCACGCACGCACGCGCACGCACACACACACGCACACATGTTAAATTAATAAAAAATAAGTCAAAAAGTCCTAATAATAAATATAAGTCCAAAAACAAACAGTCATTTATATTCTTTTGGAAGCAGGTAATATGTGTAAATAAAAATAAAATTTTTTATCCCAAATCTAATTTTTATTTTCATTTTTAACCCTATCATGTCATGTACTCAAAATTCAAAAATATTTAGAATTTAAAACATTACTGATTTTAAGTATTTCGGATTAGAATATTCAACTTATACCATAAAAGAAGGAAAAAGTTTTACCATGTCATTTAAATCTATATCTTCAAATGTCTCATGTATCCTTTTATTCTCAAGCTGCATTTGTGCAAGTAAAGTTTCTTGTTTATTACTGTAAGAAAAATAATATAACATAAACAATTAACATGAAATCTTTATAATTTACATTACTGATTTGTATATGCTTACGTCAACTCGAAAAGTTCCTGCTTAACTTGTTCCAGTGGAGATTGATAAATACTCAAGAGACCTTCCGCCAGTTTTTCTGTAGCTTCTGAGAAATCTATTACATTCTTGCTATTAAAACATAAATAATACTTTTATGCATTAAACATTCTAAAGTACATTAAAATTAATGCTTTATAATTCTTTACATATCATATATTATATAATTTCAAATAAAAATATATTGCTTAAAACAAAATCAACACGAAAAAATAAACTCCATAAGTACAAAGTTACTTTAGTGCTTTTTTAAAAATAAATATTAAATTATATGACCTTCAAACATCTCCAGTTTATACAAAATTATCCTTAGTGCCAACTTACAATTGAGTCATATATGAAATTTAATCGTGTTAGTAGAATGTTGCAAATAATCGTATACAATCAGAAATCATATTGTCTGTATCTTGACTGGAGGTCAAATGTGGATTCATTTGAAAGGTCTTTTGATAACGATTAAAACGCTGACTATTTTAAGTCACAACAAGTGACCCAGTTCAAAATGCCTAAGGGCAATCCAAGAGTACGACAATAATGTATGCAATACTAAATAACTCTCCTAATCTGATCATAGAATGTACGGTGGTCGTTCTCTCTGTGAACGCATATAGACATAATTCCTTCCATTTCTGGGTTACTTTCAAAAATTATATACAGAATTCTATTCTTGAATTTAAAGTAATATATTGCAATATCCTAGTTGCGCAATTAAGTAATATAAATTATCTTGATCTAAAGAAATACATGACGAAGAGGTTACCTCAATTGTTTTTCAGTTTTTAATGGAACCTCCATTGCTCCAGATTTTTCCAAGTCAGTCATCATTTTTATCGTCACTTATTTCTCTTGACTTGATTCACGATTATATGTATCAAGTGTAATAATGTGCATCAAAAATCCATAAAGGGAAGAATGTAAAGAGAGATATAATTTGACAGGTTAGCCTTTTATATCGAGCAATTATTTGATACGCAGTAATTATATAGTTTAGTCATAGTATTTAAAAAAATCAATAAAATGAGGCTTATATATTCAGCATTTTTTACATGAAACGAAAGAATCTGACAGAAATAAGCATCGCTCTGCTTCAAAAATCGAGATACTAATTGATGACTATCGGGGTTAGGAAAACTATCTGCAGCCCCGTGTCCATGGTGCTAAAACCTGATCCAAATTCTTAGACCAAGAAATATGTAGCCAATCAATTTGCCGTTTTTCCGTGAAAATACATATTTGATTGGCTATACATTCTGAATCCAAGAATTCAAACCGAGTAAACCCAAGGAACCAATCTCTAAACACTTTCCCCGGAGGTTGGACCAGAGAGAAGCCTGAGAGCGGCCATGCCCGGGATTTAGCTACAACTTTATTTTGAAGCGCCTCTATGTCCACAAAACGTGGACATTGAACTATGTAACCAATGTCCACGATCGTGTCGGTAATGTCCACGATTTTTTGTTCGAATCTTCCCTATATCTATGATTTTTTTGGTTCGAATCTTCCCTATCATCTCTCTCTCT